AAGCTTACAGGGTTCTTTCAAATTATAGTTTTGGGCGTTATGTATATCTGTCAGGAGCCGACACCACTGGCTTGTTGTATGGTTTGCCAGGAACCAAATTTCCTCACAACTGGTTGCAATTACGACTTCACACACGCACAGTTTTCACTATTTATTATTCAAGTGTAAATATTCATAAGAAGTGTCAATTTAAAATCAGTACATTGTAAAATATGCCAGCCTTTATAGTTTATATCTAATATCTGCACAACTCCACAGTTAAAACTAATACATGGTTGATCCCATACATAAAAGTAAATGTTAAGTCCAATTCCTGTTAAAGCAGTTCCAAAAATGACCAAATTCAGTATAAAGTTCAATAAATCATCAGCAGTAGAATAAAGATCAACATATTCATTTATTCAAGTTGAAGTTCTCTAACATTGATGTTCAAGACAGTACATTAAATTCAAAATGATTGTCCAAAATCTGTTAGGTTGTAAATTTTCTAAGTGTCCAAATAAAATGTTAATATTAAATCAATTACCAAAGTAATTATACAGCAAAAATTCCACAGTTAATCTTAGTCTGTTCTTCTCTCTCCTGATACTGCCGATAAGCCCTGTGCAGCCCCTTTTTATAATGATCTTGAGAAGAATTGTAACTGGCTAATTTGCACAGGCCAATTAAAATTACTTTAACATATTAATACATAAAACAGCAAAATTGATTGGCTGATAAGCCCTATTAGGAGTTTGCCCTATTTTAGATTGACAGATGATTGACACCTAAGGCATTGTTTACATAACAATTAGGCTCCACCCCTTTAATTCTTAACAAATAAATTTATATATCTTGTGTATCTTTAAACTCATACAATAAAATAAAATATAAAGCATGGAATCATAATCTACATAAAATTCTCTTTCTTATGATATAAGTTTCATGATGGAAAAGTAAGTATTTTAAGTGTTTTAAATTCTGGTCTAAACATTAACCCTTGCAGGTTTTATCACATCAAATATGGCTGGTTGTTATAGTAATATTATAACCAAATACAATAATAATAAAATGCAAAATACATACAAAATCATGACTTTTCTTAACATTACTATAAAAAGAATAAAATATGTATAGATTAATAAGAATGATAACTTATTCTGACATGTAACTATTGTTAATCTAGCAGACAACATATGTAGGCATAATGTATGCATCACAAATGAATATGTACAATGTGGTAATTATACTTAAATGAATCAGTTGTAATTAACACTTAACAAACAGATAAGACTTTAACACAGTAGCTAAAAGACACTGGCTGGACATAGCCCCAGGCATGTGATGTTTCTTTATGACCCTGTTATATTGTTTGATACTGTGCATAATTGACACATGATAAGTGGCTTTTATAAAAACATCAAATTATAACAAATTATATCAAAGGTATTTAAAAATGGTACTACCTAATTATCCAAAATTGTCACAAGTGTATGAAATAGTTGTTGTTGTTGTTGTATAAAAGAAATAATCACTATCATAAAATTTCACTGATATCAGGTTTACAACATAAATAACAGAATGACAGTGGTTTTTTTCAATGCTTAGTGTAAGCTTCATAAGGGTCATGTCAATCAGTCAGTCAGAATGTCTGAATGTTATAAAGGCCGGCTTTTCTCGTAATGCATGTTTTTTATATAATGGCCCAGTTTTCTATCCATAATGTCATGCTGAAAATGTAGAAGCTCTGTATTGGAAGTGCTAATGCGCCACATATTATTCTGTTAATTAATAATGCATATATAATAAAACTCATATTGAATCATAAATCTCCGAACCCTTGGCCAGACTAAAAAACAAGACAAAAGTTTTTTCGTTGGTAGCAACATTAATCGCCCTGTGACTTTGTCATTGAATGAAATGCCATGATCATGACTGTAAATTCTGCTAAATGCTCGTTTTCTTTCTTCACATGAAACTTTAAGCCACGCAATTTCTGAATAATTAAAGAACCATTATATTGATGTGCATACGTTTTGACTTTCTGTTTTTTTGAATAACAGTAACTTTAACTTGAAGCCAGCACAATGTAGATTACGATCAAAATGTTCTACTGTGATGTCAGCCCAACGGATTATATAAAACAGGCCCAGCCAGGCTAAAATTACCCAAGAATTTTGTAATTGTAACCCATCAACTACATGAAATTGTATGCACATATGAACCAAATTCAATTGAAAAAGACTTTGTATTATCACGCTTATGTGATACATTCATTTAATTACAAACAAAAGTTTTAGAATACTTAGCTAAATATTTCATATTTGCATAGGGTTTTTTATCCAAATATTTTCCAAATTTGTTAATATTACACAAAACAGCTTGGCCTTTGCAATATTAAAATGAATCAATAGCAAGTAATCAAAAGTTATCATAATTTCCAATGTAAAAATAATGGTATTCAGTCAATTACTGGAGAATTGTTAGAGTAATCCAATGTAAATGTTAAAATATAACAACAAAATGTGACTTAATCACTTACATGTTTGAAAGTAATTTGTCCAAGGTCTGATTATGGCTACTAAAAGTCGTGTTAATTATGAGTGACTAGTTTCTACATCACTTGGTATACTTATGTAATTCAGGCACCACTTTTCTTGCAGTTACCCTTACTCCCAACATTACTAAATGGCCAAATGACCTCCCTAAAACTAATCTACCCCCACCATTTCTTACCGGGATAAAGCTTTTCCTATATCCACCATTATCACCAATATCACTAACTGGTAGAGGTAGATCTTAAATCCCCAAGACAATCAGTATCAACGCAAACACTATTAAATCTGAGAGCGAGCTTCCAATACAAAACTTATTTAAGTTCCCTTATAGCCTCAGACGGGCAGAGTTGTAGGAGAGTTATCGGATAACTGGTATGATTGCTTATCAGTTTTACCACCACTGCTCCACCACTACTCCCTAATTTACATGTTTTTTCTGCATTTATCCCCAAAAAATATGGACACATAGTCCTGTTGGTATTCACAGACCGATGATTTGGCTTCACGGATGGTGTTGGGATCACTTAATATGTTAATTTTAAGCCACTCCTAGTCTTGTCCTTCAAGACTAGTTTTAAAACAAGCCACGCTTATAAATGGATTAAGCTAAAAACTTTTTCACCTCAAGCATATAACCTGTTTGCCATAACTATTCACCAGGTTTTTAATTGTGTTTCAGCTGGTTCTTGAGGAATTTGAAAATGAATGCGTTACAGTTGCGTTTGTCATTGAATTTCCAAAGCTCAAAGTATGGAAAGCCTTGACAAATCTAGGTTCAAAGTCAAATGAGATTATATTGGCATGATTCGCTCATATCCTTTTTTTCCGCAGTGAAATCTATAAAGAATCTAAAATTAATAGGAATATCTCCTGAGGAATCTCCACGCCAGGGATCCTAATTTATTCACAAATCACTGGTTTAAATTCCCTAACCTGAATGTTTTGTTATTTTGTTGCTGTTCCTGGATGGCGACTTATACAATTAGCAATTAAGATTCGACCATTTCTCCCTGATGAACGCCTGCCATTAGCTATTCAAAACGCATAATTAAATGCCACAAGATAACAAAATGAAGACACAAAAACTCAAAATGGGACCCCTATGGAAAACGCCATCCGCCATGTTTTTTGTCGGGTTAGCCTTATATAGAATTAAACTACTTTCTTCATATGCGAACCGCGAAGCCAGTGTTGAGGGCTTCAACAGGGTAGACAATATATGGAAAAAGTTCTCTTAAGAAAACAAACATTAGCTCTATTGTTATGGAATGAGTTTTTTTAACGATTTTTCTTTCGAAAACCTGGCTAAACGACGATTTCTAGCTTATGTTTGGTAATGATAATACTTGAATATATTTCTATCTGCCCTTCTATCGTTTTTATTTTTATACACCGGCATAGGCTTTGTCACATTCTTGAGCAGTAAACAAAAATCAGAAAACAATATATTGAAAGACTAAACGACTTATCCGAGCCAATGCTTCAGACTGTGTCAAATACTGCCACTTATAAACAAATGGGCACTCAATTAATTAGTGTGATGTGAAATATACACATGAAACAATATTGAGAGCTTTATTGCCTAACACAGTAAAGTCCCTTAAAAGCTTCAGTATCAATTTTATTCAGTAGACACCTAAATATGATATAAGTTTAATAACGAAATATAGTTTTTTACCTTACATGGTAATAATAATCATGTTTTGCGAAAATACATATGACCTTTATGACCATGTTGCGGGGCGATTTTTACGTGTTAATCTTAAGAACATGTAAAATTAATGAAAATGTAAAATGAATAAGAAAATGTCATTCAAACTTTAAGACACCGGTTTTCAGACAAAAACGCCCCATATGATTTTTCTACTAGAAAATTGTTATCAATTAATTCAATAATAGTATAAACCTAGAGAATATTGAATAATCAGTAGATTTTGACAAATCATATTGTATAATAGTTTTAATGACCTATTTCAGTATTTCCAAGCTGCCATTTTGCATTGCCCTTTTGAAAGTCAAGGTCAATTTAATTTTCGCGCAAGTGTTATTCAAATTACATACAAGTCAGCTCCTTATATATCCGGAAGATAAAAATAAAATAATGGTGTCTTTCTAAAAATAAATGTCATTCTTAAAAAGAACGACGTATCATTCTAAAAATAGACATATAATATCATTCTTAAAATATAATGATATATTTCTATATCATTCTAAATGTAGAATCCAATATGACCGCCGCTCATTCGCAGTATGTGGGGCTGAACCGACATCTATACTACTACAATAAAAACACTTCAATATTACAAGTTAGACTAAAATTAACCTTAAAAGAGTAACACAAACAAACAAAAGAGATCATAGTAAAAAACGTAACGTACTAACATATTGTTCTGTGGAAAAAATGATGGTATATTAGAAATATTTCATTTAACGACATACAAATGTAAACTATTCTTTTTATAGATATACGTATCTTGCTTGTTGGAAGGACAGGTCATGGAAAAAGTTCAACGGGAAATTCGATTGTTGGAAAAGACAAGTTTGCCGTAGCATTTTCAGCAAAATCAGTTACAGATACCACCAGGTGGTCAGGGGTATATTTCTGTCTTCTTTTTTGTTCGTTTCATTTAGAGTATTAATAACTTTGAATCGAAAGGAATTTTCTGTATATTTAAATGAGGACTCCCTATAGAATAGAAAATAAATCCATTAAATTGTTTTTTTTATTTCATAACATATCTGCGATGGCATGTGTAGCATTTAAGGACTTTAAGGGTGACTCAGCATTATTTTGATTGCAAGCTATATAGTTCAATATAAATGTTTTGACGTTTAAGGTATATAATATTATTTGATTACGAGCACTTTAAGTAGCCTTTGAATGCAAACATTTTGTCACCTACATTGATTGTCAACGCGATGCGCAGGTATTAACTTTAACATCATATGGTGCAGGTCATAATTAATACGTGTGACATAATAATTAACACGTTTCCATGTTTCAAAGACTTGAGAACATTTTATGTAATATATTAGCAATGTTCCCTTTATGTTACCGTCATTGTGTTTGGAAAGCTTACAACTTTCTATAGGAAATCTCAAATTGAAATAATTAGAATAAAAACAAAATATACAACATAAAAATAAACGTAAAAACTTTGAAAAAAGAGATATCCTGTTGTTCTATCTATACGAGGGCTGTCCGGAAAGTTCGTAGACAAGGCTATAAAATTATTATTAACAGTCATATCAATATGATGATTGAATATATTGCTAAAGTATTTATCTGCTACATATTTCTAAATTAAAAAACATGATAAAAGAAATATTCGTAAAGCGCCGATCACCATGGCAACATGATCAACGAATCACGGAGCACTTTTATTTCATGACGATAGCTACTCGAATAATAAGTTGCTGAAAGTTGTAATTTTAACGCCAACTCTCGTTTTAATTTTGTGACATCATGAGATACTATTATATGTTACATGTATTTAGTGAAAACAACGCTTATATGACACGAACTGAGATTTTAATCTTTACTGTAAAAACAAAATCAACCATAAAATGTTTAAGGCAACTTGTGTTAAAATGTCAAACAAGATTAAGAAGCGGCGATGACAGTATATCGTATAAGAAACGCTACAGACAACCAAAGGAAGCATGGGCAAAATATCGTATATTGCGTTACAACAACCTTTGAAAAAGATAGACATGTCACACACTGTATGAGAACCAGTGACATTTTTGTTTTTAAATAATAATTTTAAATATGGACTTCATAAAGTAAAAGCAACATAACATGTATTAAGTATACGCCAGACAGGTACAATGGCTGTTGAAATCGGAAGAAATTGAATAGCGGGTAAACATGAAGTTAATTTGACGCCGTTGACGTTGTCAAAGTGCTCCATGATGAGGTATATATGTAGTATGTAATTACTGTTAAAATAAAAATGTAAGTCACTGTTCAGTAATTTTTGATAAATGTGTTCGCTAGATATGTATATTTTTGCTGACAAAATTTGTACAACATATGTATTGGTATACAATAAAAAATGAAGGAGTATCTGAACTTTCCGGACATCCCTCGTATAAGCTGTTCATCTTATGTCTGAAACAACTGTAGTAACAGTTATTACCCCTAATTTTTTTGTAATGTTAATTTCCCATATGCCACTAGGAATAATTCTTACTGTTAAAGCAATGTGACTAAGACATGTGTACTGTTAAAAGGTAACAGTACATTTTTTATACGCAAGTTTAAAAAACGGGTCATATTATAATTCTCCCTTTAGCGAGCAGGCAGGCAAATTTTTGTCAATAGCATATTTCCTACACACTTAGAGGAATTTTAATGAATCTTCATAGAAATGCTCAGCAATACGAGAAGCTGTATCGTGCACAAAAACTAAGTATCTAGGTCAAAGAACAAGGTCACACTTAAAGGTCATTGAAAAACGCTTGCCCGGAGCAAACCTTCTACATGCATAGAGGGATTTCAATATAACTTGGCATAAATGTAGGTCCCTGTGACCAATGTCAAAGTTCAGATAAAGATATGGAAATGTGTTCGGACCATTTTGTTATCATTTATTGAGGGATTGAAACACAAATGGTCATTAGCATATTAAATACTGCTGTGAAACATGTAACTCAGGTTAATATATGCAAGGTCAAGGTCATTAAAGATGATAAAATATAGAAATTTTATCCAGAGCATATCTCCTCCACGCATGGTAGGACTCAAATGAAACTCCATAGAACTATTCACCACTATGAGAATCAGTGTCACGTGCACGAACCAGGTCTCTAGGTTCAAGGTTAAGGTCAAACTTACAGGTCATTGAAACATGCTTGTTTGGAGCCGAACATATACATTCATTAAAGGAATTTTTATGTAACTTTGCACAAATGTTTACCATTATGATGCTTATTGCGCACATAATCCAGGTCTCGGCTACAAAAGTCAAAGTCCCATAGAGTGGTCAAAGTTTGTGTACGCGAACCATTTAGACATCATTTATTTATGGATTGTAACATAAATGATAACTATCATGACTAACAGTATGACACCTGTAATTAAGTTAATATTTGCAAGTTTGCAAGGTCAATGCCACTAAAGATGATCAAATACCGGTATCCAGATATTCTCCGGATATTGCCCAGGGCATATCTCCTATATGAATATTAATATTGCCTTCATCTTTTTCAAAAGCTTTTTGTGATGATTTTCAAATGATTTGTTCGAGGTAATAAAAAAAACTCGTTTTTAAGTAACAGTATAACTACCGTCCCTTGTGAAAATACTATTACGGCAAACGCCTCGGTTTACAGTATTTTCCTCAGGATGATATTTTTACTGTTACCCACAAACCCATGTCTTAAATATTATTTTGATGGGAAAAAATATCCATATCACGAAAGCTAAAGCTCACTAAATCATACAGCACATCAAAGCCTACTACATAAATAATAACTATTAAACGTCGTAAACATACCACGTCACCCATAACACCTACGGAATATGCTCATTTTGTCTGTTTCAGACTAAATTGAAGAATACCCCTAAATAGTAGTCAGAATCTTTCGCCTGCAGTTATATTTTAGTAATTGAGACAAATTGAAACGCTTGAAACCTTTCAATAAATATTATAGATGGACATGTTCCAGTGTATCGAGCAACAATGCCCTTTTGCATATTTTCATTATGTTTTATAAACATTGTATGGAACACGCTTTTCTTTTTTTTTTCTTTTTAATGGTCTTTGGACCTCTGGTAATTTTTTTCTGTCCCAATTTATTATTTCTCTTAATTATTAAACAACTACTAAAATATCATTTAAATTGCAAGTGTTTTCTAATTGCACCCAAATTTAGATTGAAAATATTCCGATTTGCCGTTAAATATAACAAGAGCGATCAGTAATCACATGTGTCGCCTCATGATGGCCAATTTCATGTTGAGACAAATTTTGTGATAGACGTACAGTGCACAACTAGACTTGGTACTGATCATTCCTGTAAAGTTTGGATATAATTGCACCAGTAGTTTATGAGGAGTAGTCCGGACAAGCTTTTGTGTATCTGGCAACACACAGAAAAAAACACATTTTTATCAAAGGGCCATAACTCGGCCAAAAATCATTCAACCAATAAACCCGTGAAATATGTGCAAGGACTTGAGCTACAGATCAATCCTGTACAGTTTGATTGAAATTGCATTAGTGGTATAAGAGAAGTAGTCCGGACAAACTTTAAAATTAAAAATCATTAAAGGGCCATAACTCTGACAAAAATCATTGAACCGGAAAATTCTGACAATATGCACAACTACACTTGGTACTGATCATTCCTGTAAAGTTTGGATGAAATTGCACTAGTAGTTTATGAGGAGTAGTCCGGACAAGTTTTGTGACGGACGGACAGATAGACGGACAGACAGACGACGGAGAAGTGATCCCTATATGTCGCCACTACTCCGTAGAGGCGTTACAAAAATGAATTCATTCGTTTCCTTATATAGACCACATGGTTTTGTACTGCGTGACTGTTTATGATTTTAACTTAATGTGTGGCGGCTGTAAAAAGTCTCCCCGTACATTTAATCAATGATGTTATATTTTTGATCCTTGAAGATCGTTCAGCACGACATTTTTGTTATGCTTGTGTTTTTTTAGTTTCAACTTTTCGGCATTTTCTAGTTGGGTGGTTCCAATATTCCTTCTTGAATAATGTTGAATCACCCTTAGGATATGTTGCCTGCTTTTTAAATTTGTCTTTTGACGTCTTTTCTGTGATACGCAGGCTTCATAACCTCTGATCCCCTTTCAAAATTCCATTTTATTTAGTTCCGTCCATTGTTTCCTCGTTTAGGGCACACGTATTTTTTTAATTGGGGACCATACGCCGCTTTTCATGGAATGGCACTACTGTGTCACATTGAAGGTTCCATGATAACCGCCGTATGAACACATCTGCGGATGTTTCTAAATTCAAAATTTTACTATTTCATGTTTAAATGTTGAATTCTGCTTAAGCTGGTGCTAGGGGGCATGGACGGTAACTTGCACTTTCCAGTACCGTCCATGAACAGGCTCAATCAAACCGAGCCTGCAACATTTTCAATTTTGCCGTGTTGGGCTTTCTTTAGGGATTATGTATTTTTCTATTTTTTGACGTTTTATTGTATTGGTTTCCTGCCTTACTTAGATCATAAAAGATAACGCTGTCAAGACAACAAGAATATTATATGGAACAAACAATTTATAAGTAGGAGATGAAATTTGAATGGATGTTCTTTAGATAAAATTATTTCAAAGTGTTTAAATACTTGATTCAAAGTGTCGCGGCGCATTTTTTGTCAATAGCGCAATATATAATTATATATATAATTGAATATATATATAATTGAATTATTTGGTATGCAACATCAGTCAGTTTGTCTGTACAAAACTACACATTTATCGTCAACAAACTTAAACCAATACTACCAAACATTAGATGCTTTAATTTTTTGTAATGAACTTTCATTTTCTTTATGTGATATTCAGGAGAACATTGTTTTCCCTTTGCTGAAATAAATCCTAAAAAAACACAACCCAACAGTGCAAGAAATCGCTTGTTATGATTGACGAGTGTGTATCCCATCTATGAGTAAAGTCTGTATTCGAATGTTCTAAAAACCATTTAAGGTTGTTTTTTATTTTTATGTACGATGGAAAACTTGTGCAAGTCCAGGTACTCTTTGCTTTATCTCGTGAAATCATAGGGTCAAAGCACAGATATCTCTATAAACACACCTGAATCGGACAAAAATAAGGCGCCTTCAGACGATATTGTTACAGTAAAATTGATTCTTTGTGACGGTCTATGTAAAAATTTTACATATGTAGGCTGAATATGGAAATGGCAGTTTCAACCTCAGATACAATTGGAAAAAAATCCATATAACATGTATAGTGTAGATGTGTATAATTATGCTATAAATCTTGATTTCAGGTATGTACTCGATTTGGAAAAACTATCGAAGTGGTTGATACTCCAGGCATTTTTGACACTGATAAAACGGTGCGTGAAATACATAAAGAACTTACCCTATCACTTTTATTGGCAACCCCAGGTTTCCATGCAATCGCGTTTGTTCTCGAGATAGGTCGGTTTACAGACGAACTTGTAAAAACAAAGAATTTGTTTTTCGAATGGTTTGGCAGTGGTGTTGATAAATATGCATGCATTATTCTTACCAGAACAGAAAACGAAAAAATGGTTGATGATTATATTGCCACTGATACAACGGGAGATTTGCAAGACTTGATACGAAAATGCGGTGGAAGGACAAGAATAGCTCCTATCGAAAATAAATCAAGTGACGTAAAACGAAAGGAAGCTCAAGTAAAACGGATAATAGAAATGGTGGAAGAAATAAAGAAGACTAACAACAATACTCACTTTACAAATGTAGCTTTCCAATTAGCGACTGTTTATGCTTACAATAGGGGGTCAGAATTATTGTCACCGGATACAATTTACATATTAAGGAATGCTGGTGTGCAGGTGTCTGACAACGATTGTAAAATGATTGACGACTTTGCTTCTGGTTCGAGCACTATTGACGAAGTAAAGAAAGTCTACCGAAGAAGAAATAGAAATATTGATGTTAATTCTGAACGCGTCACTTATTTGTCAGATAAAGGTTTCAACAATGATATTAGTATAGACGTTCCTGACGATCAAACAAGGGTAGATTCCAGAACTGGTACTTCTGATACAGACCCTTTAAAGGAGCTTAAAAACGACATTAAAAGTGGTCGAAAAGATGAAACTGGAACTTTAGCAATAAAAAACTTTAAATGCATTATAGTATAAGCATCTATATTTGAACTTTGGAACTTCTGCGCGAATAAATGATATATTATTATAGCTGATTTTCATTTTCATACTATTGAACATACAACCCAATGAGATGGCGAAAGAGTTTTGACGTTATCAAAAGTCGATCTTGGCAGGGTGGTTAAGGTCTTCAAATTCTTTGACTCTCACTGCTGTTAATTCGAATTTCACCAGGACTTCAGAGTTTTCATGTGTGGAAGCTTAAAACCAAGAACGAAAATCAAGGACTCAGTCTAAAAAAATATGAAAAACTTTGAAAAACTCGAAGAAAGAAAGAGAGAGGGGGGGAGAGGTAATAACAGTTAAACAATAATTCAGGAGACAACTCGGCTCATTTAAATACACAATAGCTTTAAAGTACGTTTGATAAAATGAGTTTTTACTAAATTTTTCCAGATTTTTATACCTTCTTTGTTACGTTCATATTTTGTTCTTCATATTTTTTATGACGACTTGCGTTTTTTACTTTTTGAAGAAATGATTTATATATCACGGGATGGAAACTGTTACACGATAACTTGTCACGTCTACTACCAGAAGAATTTCGTCTCTCATATAATATTTCGAACCTCGTATTCATGTAATTAGTAACATGATATATTTGTGTATAAAAAGATGCTTATAAATTGTAAAATTTGATACATATTCAAAGATATTCGTTCAGTCATTGGCCCAAAATGTTAGGATGAAAACGAACAAACACTCTTATAACGCAATTATTTAGCATGCCAAGCATTTATATTGAACAGGAAATTTTTGTATTGTTTAATTAATATATTTATTTATTATTACTCTTTCTTTTAAAAAAAAGATATGTTGTTTAAAGAATTGTTATTTAAGAAAATCTATCTCAAAATATACCATTCATTCCAAAGATTTCAAGATTTTATTCAAAAACCAATGCATATGCAATATAATATGCATAAGGTTACGAAAGGTTAACAACATTTGATACTGAACAGTTATTCAAAAGGGATTAACGAAACACACACATATATAGAGAATAATAGGTTGGTGCCGTGGATGGAGAAAGTTTATCTGGCGAGGCGGAGGAATTTATTGGGTGAGCCGAAGGCACCAACCTATTATTCTATTTATCCTGTCACCGTTTTTTTTTAAAGAATTTTATTAGGCCTTATCTTTATTTTTGATAATTTTTATTTTGCTTGAAAAATTATAGAGTGAAATAAAATAAACAAACAAAGTTTTATCAACGTTTCCAAAATTCGTTATTCTACACACAGAAGATTTAACGACAGTTTTTATATTTTTTTTGAAAAAGTAGTTTGGCAAACATGCATACCACGTGATCAAGTGCCGTAGATCAGTAAAAATATACGGCACCTTGTTATCGGACCGAAATTGATACAAGTGACAGGATAAATATATATGTATATATACGAGGGGTGTTCGGGAAGTTTAAGGACTTTTGCTGTAGTTTGATAAATAATAGGAGTTGAAAAACAAGAAAAACACCATAAAATATTTAATTCTTTTACAGCCAGCTGTAAAAATTACAATGAAATACATTAAACAATAAGTAAATTACAAATAAAACAAAACATACACCGAAGCATACCCGGAGCACGCTAACATCACGTCAGTGCTAAATATGTTAATATCAAATTTCCCCGATCGTCATATCGACTCACTTCTCGACGTAATCTCCATTAATAGCGATACATTTTCTATGCCTTTTGACCCATTTGTCGTACGTGTCCTCGTACCAGATGTTGTCGAATGAAGATCTATTCTCTTTGTTTCAATTTGTAATTCCAACCCGGAATCAAAGAGTCTATCACGCAGCTGTGCTTTGATTTCCGGAAAAACTCGGAAATCCATCGGCGCGATGTCCAGGCATCCTCTATTGACTCTCTACCGTTTCAGAACATGTCATGCCGTCCAAATACTAGCGATCTACAGCATTTCTTTGTTGTACTAGCTATAGATGCTTGAATCATTTTATACGTCTCCGTTGGTGTCTTTTCTATTTCTATACAAAACTTGATGATTGCCCTGACTTCAACGTCTCCTATTGACGTCATTTTTCTCTTGATTTGGGTAAGCAACAGTGATATTAAAACCGTTGTTATTCAAACAATTGTAACGATTTACGAGTAGAATTTTCAGGAAATGACGTTGACATTGTATTTAACTCTCTTGTCTTTTCGTGACGTTGTCCATTGAAACTTAAGAAAATTATTATCAATTAAATATAATGGTACAATTATCTTAAATACGATAAAATCGGAGTGCTTCGGGTATGCGTTATGCGGTTCCTATAGAAACAAAATTCGAGCGGTATTTGTCAATTCTTGTTAGGTAAGCGTTATACTACATATTGAGCACATATTTAAATTACATTTTGTGAAATATGGATAAAAACGCACCATTAAGGAAAAAAATACAGCAAAAGTCTTTTATCTTCCCGAACACCCCTCGTATATACTTAAAATTATACAATAAATGAGAACATTTTGACTAAAACATATAGGTATTTGACATAACTAAACTATCTTAAATATTGATATGTTAATACAGCCATACAGAGATAACAAAACAGGTTGAGAAAATCATGCCATACAGGAGAATTAATTATTTAATTTTTGAAATAATAATTAAACAGAATAATTTTGTAAGTTTTAATAAAGTTGAGGGGCAGAGCTATTCATTAAAGATTCTAATTTATAAAGATTAGGATGATTTGAGGAATTTCTCTCAATAAACATTTTATGAATAGAATTAAAAAAGTTTAAACAAGTAATGTAATTTATTGCCAAGAGATTGTTTAGGACATATGATATATTCTTTTGGTTTTTCAATATGTAAATGTTTACATTTTGCTATTTGTAATAAGTGATTCAAAGTTCTGATCTTACAAAGTATTATAGTTACAAAGATTGAAAGTAAATATTCCTCGAAACAAAAAATGTTCTCATAAACACGGAAAATTACACATTAAGATTAATTTATGGTTCTTTTGAAATATTCTGTAATAATTGATATTTTAATCTTTTTTTCAAAACAGCTTTAAAACTATTTACAATACCAATATATTGACTATCAGAAAAGCCAAGATTATCAAGAGAGATTATACCATTATTAACATGTCAAGAGAACGGCATAATACAATATTTTACATATTGTGTAATTTTTAAAGTTATTAACTTACTCCAGTAACACAATATTCCTTCTTTGACCTGCAGTTCTAGCTAATAGTGAAATTGCTCAAGAATTTGTACATTTTCAATACCCCAAACCTCACAACCATATACTAAAATTGGTACAACCATAGTATTAAACAGATATGGGTAAATACAACGTTCTAGCTGTTTAAAGTGATATTATGCTGATTTTTTCATTGTCAAGTTGAGCTGAATTTTCTATATATTTTAAAAGTTTGATTGTTATAATGGTGATTGACCAACAGTTGATATTTGAAAGTCTTTAGGATAAAATATAGACATGACCTAAATATAAAAACTGCCCTAATCTTTTTATAAATTGAACGTTACAGGTAATTTCCGATGGATATTTTTAGAAATGTATTTTGGTCAAGTGCGTTATTTATAGTTCATACAAAGTAAATTATAAAATTGAAAGTAATCACGGGAAAATTTAAACTTTTTTTGACTTTGACCTCTTCACTAACTATATTCACTTGGATGGGCATAATGTCACTTTTATAACAGAAAACATAGTTCTTCTAGCATGGTCAACAAGTTTTTCTCAGCTTTATTACATGTGTGTCAAAAGTTAAAAAAATCCAAAGGAAGGTATTCAGAAGTACGTTTAAAGTATTTACTATTTATCCTATATATGATCATCTCCAACCTTAAATATACTGGCGAAACATCATTGTGAAATATGTTCAGTCCCATTCACAGGAGAGGAAACAATGCAGCACCACACGGGGAGTGAAAAACACAAACAAAAAGAAAATAGACGTCAATTTTTCAGTTATTATATAAACTAACACAATCGAATATTTCTCTTATCTAGACCTTTTTACGGCGCGGTCCGTTGCTATGAAAAATCAACCGGATGTAGAAATTCCTCGCGATGTGCGTAGGACAAAAAGCATGGCCCTACACAGAAATATAGCAGAAACTTCAGAAACAATCCCTAGTAGTTAAAGGTAAAAAGTATAAAATGATGTAAAAGAAATATTTTCACAAATACACAAAAGATGCCTTTATAGCTTTATGGTCAAGGTTGCCATTACAACGACATGTAAAAGATGATCTTAAGAATACCCCATTGCGATCACGGACTAAACATTGAGATTAATATGGAAATATATCTATTAGTAAGAAAAGAGATCAACTTAATTGTTATTTTAAGAATTTCATATAAAAACTCAAGAGATTTATACAACATATGCAATCGAGGCTAATTATCATTCTACACGTGATAATGAATGTTTATGAACGTGATTGTGTTTTGTTTTCAGTTTACCTGATTTTATATCCTTTATCAGATTTGACTGGGATGCCAAACAAAAAATTTATGATTCAAATAATTTTACAAAATTTTCAGAAGTTAAGAACATTTCCTAGAGTGTAGTGAAACAACACATATTTTATCAAGTTTATCGCAGGACATGTAAAATGCACGTCACACAATTTGTCACATTACAAAATTAATTCCAGACATTGATGGGATTGGTATACGAGAGGTGTTCAAATATGAATGCAACTGGGTCAATTTTCAGAAGTGCTTAGCAAACAGTGTCAAAAAAATTATCACAATCCTTCAAAATACAAATGTACTCACCACAATGTGATAAACAAAGTTTTAGTCTTTTAATCCATTTTTAAGTGCGTTTTTTTATTATCCTTTCGAGGTATACTGTTCAGACACTTGAAAATAGCCGAACCGAGATTGATACTTTCTTCCAGCAAGGTGTTTTTTGAGCCTCGGAAACAGGAAAAAGTTACAAGGGGCAAGATCTGACGAATAAAGAGGGTGAGGAAGCTCGACAACCTTTACCTGTTTCAGATATTTTCGTACAATGGCCGCTTTGAGTGACGAAGCATTGTCATGCAACGACCTGACTCCACTGAGACCAATTGCTGGTCGACGGATTTTGAAATATTTCTTTAATTTATGTAGGGCTTTACATTTGATAAACTTTAGATTTACTTATTTACCCTTCGGTACGGCAACCTTGATTGGTAAAGAAAATTACATACATGACCTTTTTGACGCTCATGGTGCGTTTTGCTTCGCAAGGTCTTTAGCGTCCTATGGTTGCACATATTTTGTTATGTATCTTTCGCGTGGGCTCATTAAAGTGAACCCGCGTCTCATAGCCAGTGATGATATTTTCGAAAGATCGATTGTTTTTCAACAATTGTTTGGAGAGTCTTAATTATCCCTGCAAGTTTTTGCTCTGTTGTAAGGAGACGGGCTATCCATCTGGCACTGATCCTTCTCATTTTTAAATCACTTCTGAGAATTGTATGAGCGGCTCCTACAGAGATACCATATATCTAGTTGTAAATCTTGTACATCTTTTACTGAATCCACATAAGTTTTAAAATTCTTACACCACCGTGTGGCAGATGAAAAAAAGTTCATTGTTCCCATAAACACGACATATTTCATTAAATATTTCTTTCGCCTGTATACCAAGAATACAGCCGCTCTTGATATAGGACCGTATTTGGTCAGTAAAAGAAGACCTTTTCCAAACCATTTTAGTTTTGGTCAGTAAAAGAAGACCTTTTCCAAACCATTTTAGTTTAAGTACAAACGAGTAGATAGCGTTAATCAAGCTATTGTCAAAGCTAGACTTAACTGATTTACACATATTGTATTGTATTGAGAGCTAAAACCATCTATGCGATACATGTACATAGATACATGTGCAAAACGTGATTAAAAGCGAGATATTGACCTAGTTGCAATCATTTTTGAACACCCCTTGTATGTGAAAGATAAAAATTTTACGTGATTGTCTATGTCATGTCGTGGTAC